ATTGGTGTACAAATGAAGATTGTGTTTAAGGGCTGTTTCATGAAGAAGGAGGTAAATTAAAATTGAGTTTTTTTTTTTTTTTTTTAGCAAGATGTTAACATTTATTGTTTAATTCATATTAAAAATACGTTTTTATAAAGATGCATCGCCAATAATGACATGTACTGAATGTAGTCGAAAGTCTTGTATAGTACATAACCTCCTAATCGACACTAATCAGTTCAAGTGCCCCAAATGTGAAAGTGAAAGAAATGAACCGGTTTCACCATCAAATACACAAAATGAGGCGGAAGGAACAGTTGTTAAAACAAAAAAAACTTATTTTTCGAAATTGAAAAGTTTATTATACGATAAGAAAAATGATGAACCATCACAGGCATTAAAGGAAATAGAAATTGAAGAAGAAAATGCGAGGTCGTTATTAAAAAAATTAGATGAACGAAAAAAAGCCGAAATGCGCAAGCAACAAGATGAAAAACGAAGAACTCTTATATTAGAGAAACAAGAGAAGAAAAGTAAAGCATATATACGGCAATTAAAACAATGTCCTGTGTGTAAAAGTAGAATTCAGAAAAGTGGTGGATCTAATAAAATGAAATGTGGAAATCCTAAATGTAGACATGAATTTTGTTGGATGTAAGTAAATTATTTGTGTTTCTCTCCAATCTTTAAAGATATTAATATTATGTATTACATTTTATTCAGTTGTCTCGCAAACTATAAGGAAATAGAAGCCCATGGGCATCGATACCATAAACCTGAATGCAAATATTACAGATAATTTAAAAGATTGATCTAAAATTTTTAAACGAATTAATAATTAAAAATATCAGTTATATATATATATATATATATATATTGTTTATTGTATTTAAAGTATACAAATATTAATTAGGAAAAAACATTTACAAAGATTCACATATCAGTAGCTTCAATATTTTTATGAAACTGAGATTCATATTTAAATGTATAGCTAATGGATTTTGATCTTCTGAGTCTTCTATGCTAAGTTCACTTTTTCACTACAAAATTATTTATGGTTATGATGTCACATTTTTTTTATAATTCGTTATTTATTTAACAATAATAAAATTATCTTTTAGGCTTTACAACTAATGTATCAGTAACTCATTATTCTTAAAATTCATTACTTTTCATTTTATTTCTAATTTAAAACAAACCAAGTTATTATAGCATATTGGATGTTAGATAAATTTCTTGATGTATGTTTAATAGTATGGTTTTGCAGTTCTTACAAGCTGAAATAAAAACCAAATTTACAACCGGATAGTTCATTTTAATATTTATAGCGCTTTGCAAAAAGATGAGATTTTAGTGATGATTATGGCTGAGAATCACTAAGATTCCAGATTGTCTGTACTTTATATTTTCGATTGGTTAAGTTTATATTTCTTTAAAATCGGTTTAATTCTTAAAATCTCCGATTCTCACATGAAAAAATGATCTGCAGTGTTCACATCTTTTGCAAAGCGCAATAACATATTATAATTCAGGATATGATTAATACGAAAACTGTAAAGATGGGCATAAGATTATAGTATCTTAAGCGAGTAAGAAGATTATTTCCATAATTAACAATTTGTCTTTTAAACAAATCTAACCAAATATTAAACGAACAACAGTCAAAATGTTAGTAAATTCGCTTTTTTGTCAAGATAATTTTGAGGATATAGTGATTTGTCATGTGATCATTAATCAATTAAATTACAAATTTTTAGATTATGAATATCTTTTGTAATAAAAAATTATGATTCCCGCATCTATTTTTAATGATCTTACCGCCAAAATAATTATTTAATCTTTCATAATTTCAATTAACAATTATTCACTTTAGTATAAGCGTACGGTTCATTAGTATAAATGAAGCCGTCAAACTTTATTGAGGTTGACAATTCTTAATTAATCAATTGTTAAAAGCAGATGATGAGCTCATGGCCATAACTGCTCAGCAAATTTTCATTAGAACAAGATTATTTCATATTAATTTTATTACAAAAATAAATTCTGCCAAAAATTATATTTTAAAATAATCAGGACAAAAATTTTAGAATAAATTCTCACCTCAAAGCAGAATACGAGTACAGTAATTAGACAAAATCTTGAGATTATAACATTGAGGTTTCAAAATTAACAAATGAGTGGCGCATTTCGAAAATAAGTAGGGTTTTTTCAATAGTATTTTTACTATGTTGAATTATAAATCGGAAAAATAGAATTAGATTCTCTGAATTTAATTTTGAAACCCCTCATTAACAAAAATTGAAACTGCTTCAATATTTGTCATTTAAATTAAGCTCTGGAAATTTTTGAAATGTGTCAAATCTGTCAATCATGGTTACCGAACCTATCAAACCACATTTTAATTATAAGGCAGCTTTTTTTTCCAGTCTAATCGAGCTACTTCGACAAGATTTTTACTCAACGAATTCTTATCAGCATATTCTAAAATAAGAGTATAACAACCATCTTTTTTTGTTATTCCATAACACTTTAAAAATGACGGATATACTTTTCTAATTTCACAAAATATTTTTAATTCTTTTAT